AGGTAAAATCTTAGAATAGCCCACCCCTCGGCGACTTTTTGAAATCTCGCCAAGTTGGCGATTATTACATGGATCAATGTTGTTTTTTATTGTTAAAAAACAATTTAAATCATTGAAAATTTATTAAATTATTTTTAATAAAATAAAAAAAACATACCTTTACTCTGATAAACCAGATCTACCAGAAACCTATTGATATATAAATAAAAAAAAACATTGGAATTATTTTAGCTTTATTATTTGTGTCGGTATTTGTCCTAAAGTTTTGTGCATGATTTTGTAATGTAGTTCATTGCTGATTAATCGATGTTTATTTTTTCATCTCTCACGCAAAACGGATATTCAGCTAGTAATAATAAAAAAAAAATCGCGTGTAATAATTATACGCAAAAAGTGAATATTTTCTCTTTTTCTTCTTACACCTGCTATAGGTTTTCATTTAAATCTAAGTTAATATTCGTTTTTCATTTTTAATACTCATTCCAAAATATTTTAAATTCACTTAAAAAAAACTTAATATGTGGTTTTCTTATGACCAACAAATGCAATAACTTTTTTAATTAAAGGCGAAAATTATACAGTTCTATAATTATTGTATGACATAATGATTTGAAAAAGAATAAATAATTTTATCAACATTTAAATATTTAATAATGTAAAAATTATTTTATAAAACATTAACTTAAACTTCGTAATATAATCATTAAATTACGCATTGTCTGTGTCCAGTTTATCTCTTAATATTTTTGGACATTCAATGGCAAATGTATATAGGTATAACCAAAATAATTATATCTTGTGTCAGTTTAACTAACTAAACACATACTTACTTTCTGTTAGCAAATGCAATAATTCAAATAAAGCATCTGTTTCAAAATAAGTTGAATTTGGTTTATCATATTAAGTTTAAGCTTTTAAAATATATATATTGTAAGCTAATTGTATAATCCGACTTTTTGCGAATTGACGCCATCAGGTTAATTATTATGATCTTCAGTCTCTTCTGATCTATCTAATATTTTATAGACTTATTACATTTCGTCTACGTGCGCCTTTAGGCTAATTAGAAAATCTGAGAATCATTAGTAAATATGACTAAATTTGCTATGGCTTAATGTAATAAACCTTAATAAAGGCTATATACAAAAAGCTTTACTAATTAAAAGCTTGTTGTAAATTTCCTAAAAGAAGTAAGACTAAATGAGTTATGAATTATGTAATCCAAAGCTGTGTTGGGCTCACTTCAATAAGATTAAAATATGACGTAATGCAAAATGCTATCTATATTCGCAAAAAGTCGAATTGTACAATTAGCTTATGATATATACATTTTAAAAGTTTTTACTAACGATAATAAGTCAAATTCAACTTCTTTAATTGCAACAGATTCTTTATTTGCATCATAAAATGACTGTGGTTGTTTGTAGACTTATTTAATTTACCTACAACAGATATTTAAAATTTGTATTTACACCTTAAATAAAAGATGAATTCCAATTTCCCCAAGAATATTTAATTTTAAAGCTGAAGTATTTCTTTAAATGAATAAATATGTTTCAACGTTGATAAATTTTAAAATTCTACTGAAATCTACGTCATCTGGGAAGAAAATAAATATATAGTTCGTTACCTATGCTGAAAAAGCTATTCAAGTTCACAACCTTTAGAAGACAAAGTTAGCATTCGTTTAAAGCATTCACTAACAAATTATTGCAGATTAGAAAGTTTTTCGAATGATTTACATGACATTTATAGTTAATTTTTAGTCGTGAATGTCTAATAAGAAAAGCATTTTTTCTCCTAAAGAAGTTGTATTTGGTTTATATTCTTCGCATAAGTCAAAATATCTAAAATGAAATGTAAGAAACTACTATTAACTTATATCTGTTTCAGCAAAATTAATAACTAGTTCCTTACCTATGCTGAGAAGACTAGATCCAAGAAGAATTTTTCTAGATTAGGTCCACGAAGAATTTCGTTTTTATATGCGGCAAATACTATATGTATGCAATGTTGTGTAACAATGTATTTACGTGACTTATGTGAATCTTCTCTAGTAAATGCCAATCAATTATGTTGATTTCTAGGATTAGTGACTTCAAAAGACTATGTTCTAACCTTCGAAACTATATCATAATTAGAATCTGAATAGTTCAGTCGACTTCTTATATGAAGATTTACATAAAGCTGATCAAAATGTTTCCATTATAATATGTCTTCTTTCTCAGCTGTTTGAAATTCAATTTTTGTTATACAGGCTGAGTCATTTGGCTTGTGATTAAGAAAGTCTGTCTCGTCAAAAAATTTACTTTAAGTATCTTCATTTAATATTTTATTTTAAATTAAAATTTTAAAAAGAAAGAAAATATTAATGCAAGAAGCTTCGGACGTTTCGTATTCTAATCAAGTCAAATAAAATTCTCACGATATTAAAAATGTATTAAAGAGTTTAATACGAAAAATTACAATCGAATATAACAAGTGCTAATAAAAATATAGCAATTAAATTGCTTATATTGGTTACTTTATTATTCATTAAAAAAATAGTGATTAGAGAAAAAAACATTAATAGCGATATATATATACTGCTCTTCTTGCATTCAACAAAAAAAAAAGAATGACGGAAAGTCTTCAGCTTTCTTTCCTATAAAATTCGTATTCGTATATCGTATCTCAAATATTAAAGCACTCAAATTGTATTGCAAAGAACAATTCCAAAAAAATCAAACTGCCAATTTAAAATTTGCAAATAGCAATAAAAAATGCTTCTTTATGAACTTTTTCGAACTCTGTACAATGCTAAAAAAATGAATACCTAAATAACTTTTGATAATATGATTGGATTTTTTTTCTTCTAATTCTTAGGATTTAATCTTAATGGTTCCATGACTTAATCTTTAATATGCTAAATAATTAGGACAGATACGATATAACGAAAGCAACGAAATCAACGGACATAATAAATTACTTTCTTTTTATGACGGACTTTCTGAAACTCAAAATATGGGTTAGTAGTAATCTGTAAAGTATAATCCCCACAATTTAAGCAGGAGAGCTATCAATAGTATAGACTACTTAATGGTAAGATAAATTTCTGTGTGTTTCGAAATACCTGGAGAACTAGTTAAGTCAAAGTTTTGAACACAGTTATAAAATTCAATTATTCAGTAGTAATTAATATAAGAAATTGTGACAGCTGTACTTCATTTAAATCTGCAGATTTAATATATTTTTATTACATCGCTGAAAATGATGCAAATAAAAAAAGTGTTAAATATGTCCTAAGTGGCACATAATACTAAATAACATTAGAAAATCAGAAAAACGGAAGTTATTTTGCCGAACTTTTGAATATTAGAAAGATACAAAAGATTGATGTTTTCTCTGCATTATAAAACGTCAGATTCTATACAAACTATATAAAACTTTGCATCTCGTTTTGATTCCATACGATATAATATTTTATATTTTCTGTTATTATCTTGCGTCGTTTTTTATTTTGGGAATAAACGAGAGGAAGGTTTGGATGGTGGTACAATAATTAGGTGATATAATTTTATTTTGTTTTCTACATTGTTGTAAAGTAATAAAACATAGAACAGAAGTTTTATAATTACCCTCTACACATTATTTACTAAGCAAGACACATATACTAAACAAAATGATATTACCTAATTCTGTTTCCATTCATTTTCATTCTTCTTACATCAAATTATATATTTTAGTATCCAGCTGATTTTCATGAATGACTGTTTCAAATTTAACTAAGAATTAATACTCAAGTAGCTAAACATTTATTGATATATTGTTCTTTTTTTTATGTGAAGATTTTTCTGATAAATTTTTTATCATTAATTACATTCAGAGTTTTTTTTTTTTAATTTCCAAATATTCCTAAATATGTTTTAAAAATGGAGCCAATGAACTTGTAAGCTTACGGAACATATTTCACAAAAGTCTTTAGTCTAGCCATTTGTAATTTTACAATTATCATCTGTATTTCTTGAGATTTCTCCTTAAAAGAGTTTTGCGGACTTCGATGTCTTCTCACTGATTATTAAATAAAGTTTCCCGAAAACAAATATTATGCTGCATATAACAGAATGATAAAGACTATCATCACTGATATGCTCTTGTGGCACAACTGAAAAACGAGTGAAACTCTCTATTGTCGTAGTTCTAAACCGGTGAACGCATTGATTAATTGCAAATATACCATCTGATTGTATGGTTTTTCAATTTACCAACTTTATTGTCAAACAGCATAAAAAATAAATCAATATTTTTCTAGAAATTTTACCATAGAGTAACGTTAAATATAACCGTACCTTTTGCCGTTCCCATAAAATCAGAAAATCGATAAATTTTACCTTATTCTAGCAGTTTCAGCCATACTTTTTTCTCAGCTTATAACTTAAGTTTAATTTTTGTAATAAAATGTCTTTGTGAAAAAAAGTTTTACAGAATGTCCATGTATATTGAGAAGCAATACAATATTTAAAGAAATTCTATTTCGGATTAACGGCTGTGCATGTTTCTTGTTTCAACTTAAGCTCATTAAACAAGAGGCATTGAAAAAAATATTAATGTCCGAACTTTTTCTTTATTTGAAAACAGTTTCCATAGAGAACATACATATTTGTTACATACAATGTTCACATTTGAAGTCTTCTACACATTAATAACGCGACCCAGAAAAATTAACAAATTAATTCTTCTGTCTACGACTGCAAACATGAAAGGGTGGTTTGCTAAAATTGTTGGTGGAACAGGAGGTGTAAAGTCAACTGTCATACCAGCTCTTTGGTTCGATTCATCAACTTCCAGAGCAGTCTTGTGAAGTGTTCCAGAGACAGCTAATCCTTTACTAAATGTCATGTCAGAAAAATCACCCGATCCATCGTACGCGCTTTCAGCTCCCAATGCTCTAAAATCTTTCGAGAAATCTCGGTAGTACTGGAATTTGAATTTCGGAAGAAGGACCATTGTCTTTTGTGACTGCAACTGGTTTAGAACGTTTACAATATTGTCGGGGGTCATGGTCTTTTCTAAACTTGTGAGACCATTTTTCTGTCGTGGTAGTAAAATTAGTAAGCCAGTATTTCCTCCAATGTATGGTAACAATAAAGCTTGATAATTATATCCTTCAAAGTAAGGGAATGAGTGGATAACTTGCATAAATGGAACATTCCTGAAATATATGTTTTGAAATTACTTTCACTAAATACTCTTATTAGAAATGTTGCGTAATTCCCATTTTTAATATTTATATATTTCAAATCCTTATCAAAAATGAAGTCAAAAAGTGCATTTATTCGGGGAAACACATGAATACTCTTAAGCTAACAAAAAGAAAAACCCAATTGAAATATTATTAACCACTCACGAAGATGGGATTTATGTACATTAAAACTTGTTTGATATCCTGAGGAAATGGTAGGGCATATATAAGAAACAACTTTAAGTTTAATCTGTCAGTCAGACAGGCTTTATTGTCCTTTTATTTGCACTTTTTTTAATTATGAATCATGAATTAATTCCTTTTTTATATCCTTATTTATCCTTAGTATTTACATCCTTACTTATTCTGATAATTGTGATCCCCAATATGTGAACTTTTAGACTTCATATTTGATAAAGATTCTAAAAATATGGATTAATCGTAGTGATTATAGAACACCCTGCATAAGCAGAAATAGATACACTCTTAAGTTTGTTATATAAATTCAAAATAGGTCTGATGGAATTTTTATCAAAATAATTAAAATATATTTTTTAATTTACAAGGGGGTTTCAAATAAGAAATGGTTTCAACTCTCTCGAATTGTGTTTCTCATAAATTTTGAAACAAATGTTAAGATTTCGAATAAGATAATGTTATCTGGTAACATCTAATTTTTTCTCTTCCTCTTTCTGTGAGTGTGTGTTTGTTACTTATAAACTTAAGTGCGAGCTTATATAACAGATCTCTCTCGAGAGATGCATAAATTTTTCAACGACGCTGGACAAATAGTCATAACGTGAAGCAAAATAATTGAGAAAAAATATCACAAAAGAAGCATTTAAAATTGCCACAACGATGGAGAAAATTCTAATTTCGAAAAAAATTATGCAAAATTCATGAATGTGTATGACCCATTTCTGCAGTTTGAAGAGAAATTCACATATAGTTTTTAATACAAGTTCAACAGTTAAAAATTCTAGAATTAATGATCGAAAATTAATTTTTTTTACTCCGTCCACTGCATTTTTCTGCACACCTTTGTAAAATTAAATTTTTCAGACTAGTTTTGTCAACAAAGTGTAACACTCAAACTTAACTTAAACACTAATAAACACGGTGTGCGATTTTAAGCGAGCATAGAATAATACGAATGTAGACAGATGCTCATTATATCGTTTATGAACTGATTGTTTAAAAAAGAGTGCTTACCAAGGAAAATTATAAGATCGAGTATTAAATAAAAACATACATACTGTCTCTTATAATTTAGTATTCTCCCTACCATATCTAGTTAAAAGATAGAGGTTATGACATTGCTGTAGACGTATAGATGTAACACTGGTTGGAAAGATAAGATATATGTTTAAAACCATTGTGATGCCACAATTGGCATTACATATTTATTTCCTATCTTTTAAGATATCTTTCATTACCTAAGCTTATTTTTAATAATAGAATTATATTTAAAATAAATCAAAGACTTAATCTCTTAAAACGAATATAAAAATATTTATTCTTCTCTTATAGATCAATATAAAGGATACTTTTTATTTCATTACTAGGCAGACTTATTAATTCACTGTCGCACCTAATCGATAACAAAATCTTTTTATAACTTTTTATGCTAAATTTCTAACCGAAAATATGTTTCTGTTGCATGGTTGTAAATTTGTTGGCGACTCATGATCGCCAAGGTATTCTTTTAAACCCAATATTGATGTGCTATTTGGCATTGTTTTGGCTATGTTATAATTTAATAAATCGCCAATTTCGTATCTCCTACCCATGCTTCTGTGTCCGATGGGAACAAATTACACGTACTTTTTAAATTTGGCTTTTGATTAGGCAGGTTGTGGGGGGGGGGTTGTCTCCCATGGCCAGCCCTTATTAATATTATTATGCAAAATTGATTCACCTGAAATTCGTATGGATAATATTTGTATTTGGTATCTCGAGCTCTGCAAATATATGAAATAAAAGCTTTTTATTAATTCTGATCCGGTTCAAGTATTATTTTCATCTTCTGTTTTCATCACAGTCTTCAACTAGTCCATTATACCCTACAACCTCCAACACCCCTGATATACCATCATCACCGCTTAAATTTGCACACTGAAAATTCCTTCTCCATAGCCATACTTCTGTTTACACACTGTATTTTTGTGTTATATGCTTTAAAATATCCGTATTTTTAAATGACAGATTTGTCTCTCTCTTATCATAAAAGCCACTGCTTCAGTTTTTCAACTTTACATTCCAGTCTGCTTTGCTGTGTTAAAACTAAAAGACTTAAAATCTTGTAATTACGAAAAAAAGTACTAGGAGTACGACGAAATAAAAAAAAAAGTTTGTGAATTTTTACTGTTAAACGTATAGTAAAAAGCTGGCCATGAAAACAAATTACTTAATTTCTCTTTTTGGGACTTGACACAGGCCAATTAAGCCTATTTTTACGTAAAATCGTTTACTCGGACTGAACCCGAGCTATAAACACAATCTTTATATAAAATGAAACATCTTACTTAAATCTTACTTTGTTTCCGTTGGTGAGTAAAATGGTTGAGGCAATGACAAATAAGGTGGAAAAGGTGTCTCCCACTTTCCTTTAAAAAACACAGCATCTATGAGTAGCGCAGATGAGAAGCCATTCACACTATTTACAATACTGTTAATTTTCCCATATGTTTGTTGATTGACAAAATTATTGATACCACGGGTAACGTCATTAGCGTACAAAAAATTAACATTTTGAATGGTTGAATCATAAATATTTTGAGCATCTTTTTGAAACTGAGGATATAATGGTGCTCGATCCGTTACTAAAACTTCATCGGCACAGTAAAGGCTGTAGTTTACTTGGTTTGGATTGTTTTCTGGTAGCATTTGTGAGAAGTAATAGTTGTATGTTGATGGAACTTTATATAAAGGTAAGCCAGCTGCTTCATAACCCAAGACAGAATACAGCTCCTGGAAAATATAAATATTAATTTATTTGCTATGTTATTTTTTTACAATATAAAGTGGCTTACTGCTAAGATTACTGCGGTACCACATTAATTACCACACAATTTTGAACTAATAGGACGTATGGTGAGTTGCAACGACCCATGAATCAACGACATTACGTAGATCAACAGCATGGATTACTCACTAAATTCTTAGCTCGTTACACACTAAATTCGTAACATGGAAACACCGGTTTCACTATGCAGAAAAGACTGCTGGTTAAAATTTCAGTATTAATTGCAAACCCATGTAATGTCTTTTCATTTTTAAAATAGTTAGAATGTAAAATATATGATTGCTATTAAGATGAAATAAAACAATTCAATTTTCTTCAAACAACTTCAAAGCTCTTGCAAATGCAGAGTAAGATGCAGTAAGATAGTTCTATGATATACAAAATAACTTAGTAAAATACAATGTCAATTATAACACTATTTGTAAAAGAATGTGTGTTTTTTTTTGTGTGATAATTGGATGTACTACGTGAAATTGTATGTGTTTTAAACTCTAATATTTTCGAATGCAAAGATTATAACGTTAGATTAAATAGAAATAAGAGTAACTGCGATGTGTTATGTATACGCGTAGATAGGATTATCACATAACTGGAATGTTTCTGAAACATGTCAGTGGGAAGTTATTAGGATTTAGTGGAATTTTGAGATAAACTTTAAGTTCAAATAAGTTAATAAAGTTAGTACTACTTGTATTGGTAGCTAATTTAGTCTCTTACTTAGATTGGTATCAAGTAAGGTAACTAGCATAATACTTTATAAAATGCTATTATTATTAATACACATTTTAAAAAAAGAAATGCTTTGCTAATGAGCTGCTTTGTGAAAGTAGTGCTATGTCGGGGCCTCATTTTTTTCCTAAGAAACACAAGGACCACTAAATTGAAATATAACCTAGGAATTATCTAGCAAATGTAATATATTTCAAATATGGTTTTTCTTACCTTTTGAGTATTTCCTCTGGCTCCATGTAAAAGTATTCCTAATCCTGTCATTAAACTGGCGGGGCAAAAGAATACATTGTCCGTATTTCCATTAATCAATCTAGGATAAAGTTTAGCTGCTAATATGTTGTTGGCAACTGCAAACTTATTTAGGTCCTCTTGTGATACCTCGGCTGAGCTCATCACAGCATGAGCGATGATAAGAAGGAACAAATTGAAGAAAACCATGTCTGGAACATATGTTAAAATATTTCATAGTACATTTTGGTTAACTAGAAGGTTGCCGCCGTTGTTAAGGATGGAGTGTTTAAAGCCAAATAATGATGTAACTGCTGAACAAAACTGATGAAAATTTGCAGTAAAGGCTATTTAGACCACGAGGATTTAATTTCAAAAAATAAATAGTTTGAGATTCCTCAGGCAAAGATTAAAATGTCACGTAACGTTTTTTTTTGGGGGGGGGGGAAAGAAGAATAAGAAAGTACATAAATTTAACATTTATATGTATTTTATATTTTGAGTACTGATACTTCAAGAAGATCACTGATAGCCACACATGTGACCTAGGACATCAGCACCAGCTGATCGTTTATCAGCAAAATGGCTTGTTAGAGTTGAGCTAAAGTTCCCCGCATAAGTAAGAATTTCAATTGTCGAGAAGTTAATTAAATATAGCACCGTATCGTGCATCGAAATTGTTGAAATATAATACCTTCTCGTTTATTTCTTTTACTTAACGAAGATTTATTATTTGCTTCTGTATATTATTGCAACCGTAACATATTTTTGTTTTGCGTACCTGGCAACTTCGATGCGTAATTAGTTTGTGAATGTTCAACGTGGCTTCGTGTATATTTCTGTGTTAAGCCACTGTGCACCTATATAGTGAAAGAATAGAAATATTACTGAAAAATCTTTGTGAAAGAATACAGAATGTGTCACTTAGGATAATTGATACTTGATGGGCTTAGCTAACTCGAAATAGAATGAAAAGAACAGTTGCTAACGTAAACGAACGTCCCGCTTCAACACCAATCATGTTCGAAATACATACACTACGTTTTTATGAAAGAATACCAATCTTTGTGATCAATCTTTGTGAAAGAACACCAATCTTTTGAAGAATCTTTGTGAAAGAATATAGAATGTGTCACTTAAAACAATCGATTCTTGGCGGGATTGGCTTACTCGAAATAGAATGGAAAAAAGGTCTGCTAATGTAAACAAATTCCCCGTTTTTACAACCAATCGGGCTCGAAATACCCACACTACGTCACTTGCAGGTATCCCATTATGACAGCTTAGATTTTAACTTGGAAACTAGGTTATTTGAAGCTTGCCCTTCTTCAATTATGTCCTTATATGCCATGCGTGTTTTCAGTGATGTATGATTAATTTTTAACAACCTAGTTTATTACACGCAAAAATCTGCAAATAAAACAACGCGCTTCTGCTAAGGGGTGACTTGATTGTTAAAATGATTTTTAAAATGTAAATGTAAAAGGTGAATGTAAATGCGATGCGATATTCAAATGCGCAAAATGTTAATTTTCTGAATTGGCTGATGCCCATTTTATCCCCAAAATGAACTTGTAGCTCCATTTCAAACACTCCAAAAAAATTAAAAGATTTTTTTTTGTTTTAAAATTTAACTTACTGTGGTGTGAACAGCTTGTAATGCAATTGTGCTCAAGTTTGGTTCCGCAGTTTTCTCACTTTCGGCTTTAAAACACATGTATACTTTAATTAGTGATCACCCTTGTACATTTCTCAGTCAAAACATTAAAAAATTGAAAAGAACATTTTATAACAACGCATAAAATATGAACCATCAAATGCAGAAGTTTAACATACCTTTCGTCAGCGAACTATATCTTACAAGTAAGACTGGGCTATAAGTTGATGTATCGAGACATATCGATTTAACGCATATATCGGCAAGACGATACAGCGACTTTCATTCAAGGCGATGCATCAGAAATCTGATTTAAGCCATCGAGCAAAGACAACGAGCGCAAAACGATATAGCGATATAAGACACGCAAGGATATAAGATAACGATATAGCGATATAAGACTCTTCTCTTACGTTCCGATGTCGTCTCGCGCTGTACATGTAAACATAAATTTT